CACTAAATAGATAGTACATGCACAATATATATTGTGCCTGTACAAACTCTACTAAATGAAGAATAAAGACACTTTACCTTTTATTGAAGATGCAGCAAAGACTGAGGAGACAGTTTGTCCTGGGAGTGCCTTTTCTCCTGAGAACAGGAAGGTCCGGATTTGGCAATTATCCTTCCAAGAACAGGCCTTATCACACTTGTGAAAGTCACTACCTATTCTTAACTCCTCTAAACAACCTATTGCTGTGATTTAAATATCTCCAGGTATATGGAGCACTAGTTCCAGTGCATTTTTCCCTTTCACCTTGGTTTTATCGACTGGTTGGGGTTTCATCCTGGGAGACAAGATTAAGGACGCACAATGTAAATCAGTTATAGATTCCCACGAGTGATGCACCGTGACTTTCTTTGGGTTATCCTGGGTGTCGTAAATCCCACTGGGGTTAATTGTAATCTCGGTAAAGTGTTTCCCGTTTAAGCCACACCAACAACAACTCGTTCTCACATCATTCGAGTAATACAGCTGATGGTGATGCAGCAACAAGCAGCAGTGGTGCAGCCTTGACCATGGTGCAGTCAGCAGCTGGGTGCACGAACAGCATAGCAAGGTGCAGCTGCAGCTGTTGAGGCCGCTGCAGCTGTGGAGCAAGCAGCAGCTAGACAGTGGTACGATAGTATTATATCACCGCTTTTTAACCACAGGGTATAGCACTAGAAGCTTTCTAGGGTGGGCCTATGGTGGCCTTATTTAGCATTTACAGGCACTATAAATGAATGGAAATATACAAATGTATGGGGGGGGGGGGGGAAGGACGAATATAAGCATGCAACCACCAACCCTGGGCTTGTAAACAATGACGGCAAGAGCAGCGCCAGGCTGAAACGGACGCGGTTCGGGACGGGATCATGTTCAGAAACGAGCTATGGTGCAACACAGCTGACCGTTGGCAGCAGCAGCCGACTGGATCCAGCAAAAGCTGCCTGGTCCAGCAACAGTGACTGGTCCAGCAACAGCCTGCCTGGTCCCAGCAAAACAGGCTGACTGTCCCAGCAACAGCTGACAGGTCCACAACAGCTGACTGGTCCAGCACCGCTGACTTTACCCAGCAACAGCTGACTGATGCCAGCCAACAGCGATTCTTAAATCTCTCATACGCAACCTTTGCCTGTCCTTTAAATCCCAACACTCAATCGAGCACAAGTTCCTAGGCGTTTTTTCCCTGCATCACCTGGGTGTAGTCGACTGGTGTGGTTGCATCCTGGGAGACAAGATTAAGGACCCCAATGGAAATAAGTTAGACAGTCCTCGATGACACACTTTTTTGAGGTTTCCGGGCGGCTAACCCTCTGGGTTAAGTTGTTTCTGGTATGTCTCAATAAAGCCACAACACAAAACGGTGCTACAGCAGCAGCCAGCAGCAGCAGCTGACAGTGCTACAGCATCAGCCGCTGACAGTTCTAACAGCAGCAGCAGACATGCTACAGGGCAGCAGCAGACGGTACTTTACAGCAGCAGCAGCAGACGGTACTACAGCAGCAGCAGGCAGCCGACCTGGTACAACAGCAGGCAGGCAGCAAGCAGGCAGCACAGACGGGACTACAGCAGCAGCAGCAGTAGACGGTACTACAGCAGCAGCAGCAGCAGTATATACGTACTAACAGCTGCAGCAGCAGGACGGTACTGACAGCTGCAGCAGACGGTACTTACATCCGCAGCAGCAGCAGCAGACGGTAATACAGCAGCAGCAGAGCGGTTACTACCAGCAGCAGCAGCAGCAGAACGTACTACACACACAACGCAGCTGACAGGTGCTACAGCAGCAGCTGGACAGTGCTACAGCAGCAGCAGACAAATGCAACAGCAGCAGCATACGGTACTACAACATCAGCAGCCGCAGCAGCTGGACGGTAGGAACAGCACAGCAGACGATGCTACAGCAGCAGAAAAAGCAGACGGTGCGCTGACAGCCAGCATCAGCGCAGACTGTACTCCGACCGGTTTTTTATTAAAAGCTTTGTGAAACATTATCACCCTACCAAGCTGAATATCCATATCTGCAAAATTTTAAAATACATGTTGTGTCCCAACATGCAGGGAATCTTAAAGAGATGCAGAAAAAGACCTCTCTGGACAGATATTTTGTGCTACAGGGGTCCAGTGACTCTCAAGTTGTTCCCAGTGGCATTAAAAGAAGGGAAGTAACCCCAGATAAGGACTTGTTACCTAAAGTCCTAATGGAAGGGGATTCTCCTTCCTAACAATAGTGCACACTTCCTCCTATTCCCTCCTCCCGTCTTCCATCCACCCAGAAGTCTTCAGTAAAGGTAAGTGTAATGTTATTATTATTTTTTATATGTATGTATTCGATTTCTCATTGATTTCAGTATATAAATCTTAATTTAATTGAAAAAATATTTTAATATTTTTGGGTGTCTGGAACAGATTAATTTTATTTCCATTATTTCTTATGAGGAAAATGGTTTCGAGTTTCATGAATTTCGACTTTCGGCAAGCTCTCTGGAACGGATTAATCACGAAACTCGGGGGGTCCACTGTATTACAGTATTGCATAACAGTAAATCTTCTATTTTTTGGTTTGAATAAAAATTCATTATGTGAATAAAAAATAAAAATGGAATTCATTTGTAAAGCATGAAAACATAACTAAAGAACAGAGGAAATGTTAGTTTAGTGCCAGGAATGCCTGCAATGTTTATTCTGGACCCTATTTTGAAACTGGAATATTTTGAACTTTGCATTAAATTGGCCAAATTACCAATTTCCAGTCACTTTATTTTGTTGTTGAAACAGTTGACTTGGTGAGTTTTTGTGCCCAATCAACAGAATAGAAGTAATACTAGTGAAATTGCTAAGAATTTGGTTGGCTGGAATACTGTAATTGGACTAAAATGGGAGTCGAATTCGGCAAAATTGCCAGAGCGTAAATATCGCTGACACATCAAAATTCGCGAGAGCATAATTTCGTACTTTTTGTTTTATTACCTTCAGAAAAGATTCTCTAGCATTTCATAAGAAAAATAACAAAATTATTTTTTGAAAATTCTTGGACCCTGGTGCACCCTTTGAAATTTGGCCTCTGGACCCTGAAAGGGCTAAAAGAAGAAGGAAGTAACCCCGGAAAAGGACTTGCTACCTCAAGTCCTCATGGAAGGGGATTCCCCTTCCAAAGAATAACAACTTCCACCATCTCCCCTCCTCCCATCCCATCAATCATCACCAGATCTTCAATAATGGTAAGTGTCATGTATTCTTTATTTAGTACAATAGTAACTGTGTATATCTTCTTTTTGTGTGTTGGAAAATGTATATTTCATGTGGTAATTTTTTTTTTCATACTTTGGGGTGTCAGGAACGGATTAATTTGATTTCCATCATTTTTGATGGGGAAAATTAATTCAGCTAACAATAATTTCGTCTAACGATGAGCTCTCAGGAACGGATTAATATTGTTAGCCGAGGGTCCACTGTATTACAGAAAACAGTAATAAACAATATATGCTGCAGTCACCGATGTTGCCGTAAGTGGTTCACTTTCTGTCACCTCCATGCCTCTATATCTTGGTAAGTATTGATCGCAAAAAAATTTTTTTGGGTCTATAACAATCAGAAAAATAATCTTAAGATTTTGGTAAGATTTTTTTTATTTTTTTTCAAATATTTTTTGACACATCGAGAGTTAAGGATTAAGGGTTGCGACACTGAAAGAATTAAAATTGTACTGTTGTAATATAACCTCTCCTCACTTAACGACAGAGTTCCGTTCCTCAGGCCACACCAGTAAACTAATTCATCGCTAAGTGAGGAGCATACTATAATGGTAGTGGGTTTGTGTCAACCATCTTCGATATTGTTTTATTGTCACCTTTGCACAATTTAAACATTTTTAGTACATTTTTAAATGTTTATACAGTAGTGTACTGTATATTGTACTAAAAAGAATAGAGGAAATCAGCTCTAATATACATTACAGCCTCTCCTCACTTAGCGACATACTCCTTTACCAATGACTCGGACTTATGATGGGCTCTCTGACCAGTATGCATACCTAAATAATGTATATTAGAGCTGATTTCCTCTTCTGTTTATTACAATATACAGTGCACTATTGTATAAACATTTAAAAATATACTAAAAATGTTATAAATGGTGCAATTGCGACATTAAAGCAATTTTCAAAGATGGTTGACATAAACCCACTACCATTATAGTATGCTCCTCATTTAGCGACAATTTCGTTTACCAACGCAGTATCAGGAATGGAACTCCATCATTAAGTGAGGAGAGGCTGTATTTAGGTATGCATATTGTCAGAGAGCCCATCATAAGTCCGAGTCATCAGTAAACGAGTACGTCGCTAAGTGAGGAGAGACTGTATTGTAATTTGTACTAAATGTAATACTTTTGTTTCTTCAACCTCTCTACTATAAACCTTAACAATTATAATTTTTGGCTACCTCTCATTTGTATTAATGTAAAAATAAAAAAAATTTAATATTTACCACTCCATAACCTGTCTAATTTTAAGTAGTTTGTAAGCATTAGGATTAGTCTGCGAAATGCTCAGGCACATTACTGGCTTTCTTTGTGCTTAACAATTTTATAACATGTAAACCTATAAAAAGAAATGAAGTCTGTATCTGTATAATAAAATCATGAAAACCACCCAGGAAAATGCCACAGTTGCTATTTTAACCCAAATTTATGGTCAGAGGTTAGCTGTTCCCATAATGCAGAGCATGGCCCATTTTTTTTTATACTAAGCATACCCACCACACAGACCCTCATGTCTAGGCAAAACTTTACTGCTCAGAGCATTTTTGAGGGCACTATGATTAATATGTAAATCTACCTAAGTGACAATGGCCTGAGAGACAATGAAATACTATTACTCAGAACATTATTACAGATTCTGCTTGAAATATTACATACTGAACTACAGTAAGTCATTCACTGAGTAGAGGTGTCAAAAAGTTAATTACCTTATGCTTAGTGTTGTGGTGGTGAGTGTGGAGAGGTCTAGTGTGATGCCTCCTTGGTCTGCCTGCTGCTGCAGCAGATGCTGAAGACTGTTGGGTGGCGTAGCGGGGTGAGCGTCTAACTCCTACTGCTGCTCCTCCCGCTGCTGCTGCTGCTGCTGCCGCCGCTGCTGCTGCCGCTGCTGCTGGGCCCCCACCACCACCGCTCCCACACCGCTTACCACCGTACCTACAAAATTATTCAGGTATTATTTTTATTTGTGTAATAAGATCTTGCATGATAGTAATACAGGCACTATAGAATTAAACTAAATTAGTACTTTTAGCTTTATTAGAAATGTAAAAAACAAATCAGTGCCGTGTTGAAAATAACCCTTCCTTGCTAGAGAGCCTGCAATTTATACTTTCTACAAGCTAACATTTATAGCCAACATACCAAGAAAGGTATACAATACAGTGGACCCTCCCTTTTCGTCAATCTCCATTATCACCAATTTCCGTTTTTGCCAAGTTTCTTCGTTAAAATGTTGGTTCCATTTTTGTCGATGGTATGGAACCTGCCCAGTGCCCAGCACACACACAAGGCATCCTCCCACACGCATTCTCAGGCAGTGTCACATTGTTTCTCAGTGAGTGAACATATCTTGCGAGGTCATATGTAATAATCCATTTTTTGGCACTTGTTTATTGTGTGTGTCTGCTAAATAAGCCACCATGGCCCCAAAGAGAGTTCCTAGTGCCAGTCCTTTGGTAAAGAAAGTGAGGAACACCATAGAAATGAAAAAAGAAATCGTTCAAAAATATGATAGTGACATATGCATTGCTGAACTCGGCAGGATGTACAGGAAGCCGCCATCAACCATCAGCTCCATTGTGGAGAAGAGAAAAGAAATCATGGAAGCTGATGTTATGAAAGGCATGAATGCGATAACAAAATAGAGATCCCAAACAATTAAAGATGTGGAGAAACTGTTGTTAGTGTGGATCAAAGAGAAACAGTAAGCAGGAGATTGTGTTGTGCAGTCGACAATCTGTGAAAAGGCAACTGCCTGGCAACTGCCTGGAACGAGTGCTGATGTTGGTGAATTTAAGGCCAGCAAGGGCTGGTTTGAAAAATTCAAGAAGGGAAGTGAAATACACAGTGTTGTAAGGCATGGTGAGGGGTGCCAGTTCAGACAAACATGCGGCTGAAAAATTCCAACCCCAACACGTGTTCAATTGTGACAAAACAGGCCTGTTTTGGAAGAAAATGCCAAAGACCTACATCACACAGGAGGAAAAGGCACTCCCAGGACACAAGCCAATGAAAGGCAGGCTAACTCTCCTGTTGTGTGGTAATGCTAGTGGGGATTTCAAAGTGATGCCTTTACTGGTGTATCACTCTGAAAATCCCAGTGTTCAAGAAAAACAGTATAGTCAAGAGCAAATGGTGTGTGATGTGGAAGGCTAACAGTAGAGCATGGGTCACGAGGGAAATTTTCCTGAAATGGTTCAGTGAAGTGTTTGGCCCGAGTGTGAAGAAATACTACCTGAATAATAAATTGCCATTCCAGTGCCTCCTGCTATCCTCCAGACTTGGAAGATCAATTGTATAAGGAATTCAGTTTTGTAGCAGTGAAGTTCTTGCCTCCCACCACCACTCCTCTCATCCAACCCATGGACCAGCACATCACTGCAAACTTCAAAAAACTGTACACCAAAGCAATGTTTCAAAGGTGCTCTGACATAACCTCGGACTCTGAATTGACCCTAAGAGGGATCACTTCAATATCTTCCACTGCATAAGCCTTGTAGATAAGGCTTGGCAGAGAGTGGCTTCCATGATGATGAGCTCTGCTTGGAGAAAATTGTAAGGGAGAAAAAGTTAGCATATGAGAAGTTTTTACAAAGTAGAAGTGATGCAAGGAGGGAAGAGTATATGGAGAAAAAGAGAGAAGTTAAGAGAGTGGTGAAGCAATGTAAAAAGAGAGCAAATGAGAGAGTGGGTGAGATGTTATCAACAAATTTTGTTGAAAATAAGAAAAAGTTTTGGAGTGAGATTAACAAGTTAAGAAAGCCTAGAGAACAAATGGATTTGTCAGTTAAAAATAGGAGAGGAGAGTTATTAAATGGAGAGTTAGAGGTATTGGGAAGATGGAAGGAATATTTTGAGGAATTGTTTAAATGTTGATGAAGATAGGGAAGCTGTGATTTCGTGTATAGGGCAAGGGGAATACATCTTGTAGGAGTGAGGAAGAGTCAGTTGTGAGTGTGGGGAAGTTCGTGAGGCAGTAGGTAAAATGAAAGGGGGTAAGGCAGCCGGGATTGATGGGATAAAGATAGAAATGTTAAAGCAGGTGGGGATATAGTTTTGGAGTGGTTGGTGCAATTATTTAATAAATGTATGGAAGAGGGTAAGGTACCTAGGGATTGGCAGAGAGCATGCATAGTTCCTTTGTATAAAGGCAAAGGGGATAAAAGAGAGTGCAAAAATTATAGGGGGATAAGTCTGTTGAGTGTACCTGGTAAAGTGTATGGTAGAGTTATAATTGAAAGAATTAAGAGTAAGACGGAGAATAGGATAGCAGATGAACAAGGAGGCTTTAGGAAAGGTAGGGGGTGTGTGGACCAGGTGTTTACAGTGAAAACATATAAGTGAACAGTATTTAGATAAGGCTAAAGAGGTCTTTGTGGCATTTATGGATTTGGAAAAGCGGTATGACAGGGTGGATAGGGGGGCAATGTGGCAGATGTTGCAAGTGTATGGTGTAGGAGGTAGGTTACTGAAAGCAGTGAAGAGTTTTTACGAGGATAGTGAGGCTCAAGGTTAGAGTATGTAGGAAAGAGGGGAATTTTTTCCCAGTAAAAGTAGGCCTTAGACAAGGATGTGTGATTGTCACCGTGGTTGTTTAATATATTTATAGATGGGGTTGTAAGAGAAGTAAATGCGAGGGTCTTGGCAAGAGGCGTGGAGTTAAAAGATAAAGAATCACACACAAAGTGGGAGTTGTCACAGCTGCTCTTTGCTGATGACACTGTGCTCTTGGGAGATTCTGAAGAGAAGTTGCAGAGATTGGTGGATGAATTTGGTTAGGGTGTGCAAAAGAAGAAAATTAAAGGTGAATACAGGAAAGAGTAAGGTTATGAGGATAACAAAAGATTAGGTGATGAAAGATTGAATATCAGATTGGAGGGAGAGAGTATGGAGGAGGTAAACGTATTCAGATATTTGGGAGTGGACGTGTCAGCGGATGGGTCTATGAAAGATGAGGTGAATCATAGATTGATGAGGGAAAAAGAGTGAGTGGTGCACTTAGGAGTCTGTGGAGACAAAGAACTTTGTCCTTGGAGGCAAAGAGGGGAATGTATGAGAGTATAGTTTTACCAACGTCTTATATGGGTGTGAAGCGTGGGTGTTTGAATGTTGCAGCGAGGAGAAGGCTGGAGGCAGTGGAGATGTCATGTCTGAGGGCAATGTGTGGTGTGAATATAATGCAGAGAATTCGTAGTTGGAAGTTAGGAGGAGGTGCGGGATTACCAAACTGTTGTCCAGAGGGCTGAGGAAGGGTTGTTGAGGTGGTTCGGACATGTAGAGGAAATGGAGCGAAACAGAATGACTTCAAGAGTGTATCAGTCTGTAGTGGAAGGAAGGCGGGGTAGGGGTCGGCCTAGGAAGGGTTGGAGGGAGGGGGTAAAGGAGGTTTTGTGTGCGAGGGGCTTGGACTTCCAGCAGGCATGGTGAGCGTGTTTGATAGGAGTGAATGGAGACAAATGGTTTTTAATACTTGACGTGCTGTTGGAGTGTGAGCAAAGTAACATTTATGAAGGGATTCAGGGAAACCGGCAGGCCGGACTTGAGTCCTGGAGATGGGAAGTACAGTGCCTGCACTCTGAAGGAGGGGTGTTAATGTTGCAGTTTAAAAACTGTAGTGTAAAGCACCCTTCTGGCAAGACAGTGATGGAGTGAATGATGGTGAAAGTTTTTCTTTTTCGGGCCACCCTGCCTTGGTGGGAATCGGCCGGTGTGATAATAAAAAAAAATAAATAGTGTCCTCAACAAAGTTTTTAAGAATTTGAGGCTGACCCTGACAACCCTATGCCAGTCGTGCAATCTATTGTGGTGTTGGGGAAGTCCATGGTGTTGGATGTGAGTGGCCAGGATGTGGAAGAGTTGGTGGAGGACCACAATCAAGAGCTAACCACTGATGAGCTGCAAGAGCTTCATCTACAACAGCAACACTCAGGAAATTGCTTCAGAGGAGGAGGAAGAGAGATGGAAGAAGGTGCCGTCTTCAGAGATCAAAAAGATTTGTGCAATGTGGAGTAGGGTGCATTCATTTGTGGAGGAACATCACCCTGAGAAAGCTACTGCAATCCGTGCTGGCAACTTTTACAATGGCAATGCCATGTCTCATTTTAGGAAAATCTTATAGAGACGCCAGAAACAGACCTATCTGGACAGATTTTTGTGCGACAGGGGTCCAGTGACTCTCAAGCTGGTCCTAGTGGCATTAACCCTTTCAGGGTCAGCAGGCCCTCTCCTAAACTTGCTCTCAGGGTAGGAAATTTTTTGAAAAAAAAAAAAAAAAACTTATGAAATGATAATCTTTTCCCGATCATAATGACACCAAAAGTATGAAATTTGATGAGAAACTTACAAAATTATGCTCTCGCAAAGTTAGCGGTCTCGACGATGTTTACGCCCACTTTGGGCGTATTTTCAGTCAATTCCAATGTACCAGTCGACAAAAATTATAACTATTTCGCTAAAACTCCATTTCTTCTATTGAATGAGTACAAGAAACCACCCATTTACCGATTTCAACTATCCAATACAGTGGTCAGAAATTGGCAATTTTGCCAATTTGACACAAATTTCAAAAGATGTCAATTTCCAAATAGGGTCCAGAATAAACAAGACAGACATTCCTGGCACTAAAATAACATTTCCTCTATTCATTAGTCCCATCCCCAGGCCTCTGTTACATTTCTTTTGCTTTCCACTTTGAGTTTTTATTCTCACAAAAAATAGAAGATTTACCGTTATGCAGACTACTACATTAGTGTAGAAATGGTATAAAAAAAATAATATCAGCAAACTTGTGAAAGAATATTAGACTCACCAGTTGATGTGTATTGGACACATGGCATGATTTGTTTACTTTTGAAGTTTGGCAAAAATCGAACATTTGTGCTACTTTGAGCTCAATTTCAAGGTACTTTACATAGGGAAACCAATCAAAATCATCT